GGGCAAATAACCCAGCCTGGGGCTGCGGGGTGAATAACCCAGCCCTAGGGCTGTAATAGCGATGCTGGGCTGTAATTAGCGCTGGGAAATGCTCATTGATAGCTGCAGAGAGGAGTTAACTCCGGGTCACCTCGCTGAGATTCGTTCCCGACGCGTCATTTGTGCCGAATTCAGCTGAAGTGGGGTGTGAAGAGCCTTTTCTGACAGCTCCGTCAGATTGGCATCATTTGCGGAGATGAGCATTCGAATTAAATCCTTCTCCCTTCACCAAATTACCTTCTGCTACCTACTTTGGTAATGCTTCGCTCCCCATGTGTTATTCCTCATTTCAAAAACAACATTCCTGGGATTCTTGCCTCGGTTCCCGTACGGGAGCAGCGTTCCAAGTGAAGTCATCTGCGAGCCCTTCACACCATTCCTTGTGCGACAGCCTGAGCTGTCTGTCAGGGCCCAACCTGAGCCATTCCCTAATCCAGTTAATAATCACCGACCTTGCAGCCAATTAGTTCTGGAGAGCTGGGAAATCCGTGCGATAATGAGCTGATAACCCCCAAACTCCTCCTGCAAGCTGGGTTTTTGTGGGGGGAGTTCCACGCTGTGTTTTAGGGGCTGCTCTGTTTTAGGATTTACAGAGATAAGGATGTGCAGTGGCTGAGAAAATGAAATTTAAGCTGCCCATGCCTTTGCCCTTTTGGAGCACTGAGCTGGTTTAAATGTCCTTTTAAATGCATTAAGAAATGTATTTTCCTCAGGAAGTGGAGCTCAGCACAGTTAAGGCCAAACCTAATGGTGGTTGAGCAACTTTTTAGAAAAAACCAAAGATTTTTTTTCTTTCTCCCCCAAAAACCTGTTGCCAGATTCACCAGATCATTAAATTACAACTTTTAACTCTGGGCAGATTTTAACTCCTCTCACATCATGATTGTTGTTAAGGAAAACAGAAAATCCCTCCACAGGCCTGCAAGTAAAACAAGCACAAAGAGCAGCACTGTACCTACATCTGTTCCCCCAGATTACTAAATTAGCTTTGATCTTGTTGATAAAAATCTGGTTTATGGGCCAAACATAAACATTTATTGCAAGCTTTATTGGTTTACAGATTAATGAGGCTTTTTGTGACAAATAACTTGAGTGCCTGCCTACAGGATTGGGATTTTTCCCTGCTGGAAATCTGTTTCCTGCAACAAGTTCTTTAATTTGAAGCAAGAGTTTCTTCTAAACATTGCCAATGTGACAGCTAAAGATGCTTTTTTGCACTTGGAGCTATTTGTTTTAAATTAACTGTGAGACAAATCTGAGGAATTTCAAATCTGCTTTGGAAAAAGCTTTTTTGGGGTTGGAGGGTTTGTTCTCCTGTGGGTTAATGCGGGGTGTTGGACTTGAGGGGAGTGTTTGCCTGTCCTTGGGGGCTCCCCAAACCTTTGGTGGGGGATGGATCACTGGGGGGCTGGCTCTGGAAGCTGTGTGGATGGGGAAAGCAGCAATTAAAGGAGATTTTGTTTGTTTTCCCTGCAGGCTCTCCTTACTACGACAACGTGCGCCCGCTCTCCTACCCCGACTCCGACGCTGTGCTGATCTGCTTTGACATCAGCCGGCCAGAAACCCTGGACAGTGTCCTAAAAAAGGCAAGTGCTGGAGCAAGCCCTGAGCACAGAGCTCAGCTTGAAATCCCCCTGCGGTGGTGCTGTTCCTGCTCTGCAAATTCCACTTTGTTCCTTCAAATGACAGGAGGCTGCTTTAATTTGAGGTCATTTGTTTGGAAGGGGTGGGATGTTAATTGGAAACAAAAACTCGCTAATGGACACTTGGAGGCTGAAGGGAAATTCTCATTCCTCAGCCCCTGAGACAGCAAGGAATTGTTGAGGGTGAGAAATTGTATCTCACATTGTTCCTGTAACAGCATTGGGAAACTTTGCTGGGTAAATTTTTACAATTTTTACAATTATCTGCCAAATTTTGGACTTCTGCCCCGGCCTTACATAATGGGTGAGGCTGTGACGTGTGAGGGAGCGGTGACAAATGGCTCTGGAAGGCACAGAAATGCAGCCTGAGATCACTGATCCCAGCTTGTCACACTTCCACCAGCTCAAACACAGAATTTCCATTATCAGCTCTGTGTTTGCAGGGTGGTGCTGGTCCTCTCTGAGCTGCTGAGGAGCCAACCCACCCCTCACTGTGCTGGGTTTGGGGCTCAATAACACAAAATTCCTTTTTTTCTGAGGCTGTGGCCAGTGATTCTTGTCCCTCTGGGATAAAGAGCCTTACAATGCTCTGAACAGCCCACAAAAAAATACTTCAAAACTTCTCTCTGTATCAAAAAGCATCCAGAGCTGTGGTTTTTCTGTCCCTGCTAATGCTGGTTACTTAATTCTGCAAGAGATTTTACTTAAAATGCTTTGAAACCCAAATTACAGCCTTAAATTTTAGGGAGTGTCATCT